GACCCTCAAAATATGCTACATAGGCCTATTGTTTTGATATGATAAAATGTTTTGTTAAATGTGTTTTACAAATCTTTAAAAAATAACTACCCTATAAACCTTGCTCGCTGCCTATTACATACTTGAACTTGAACACTTATTAATTTACTAAATATAATACACATACAGCTAGAAAATGGCTGGACTGCTTCCCTTCCAAGGCTTCATTATTACTGTTTAATTTTCGTCGTCAAGTCAATATATAATACGATGAATTTGTTTTGTAAATTCATATGTTATTTTGCGGGGCATTGAGCCGCACAGGTTCACTAGTTTAATTTAAAACCTCTAGAAAATAAATCTGCTAGTGGTCTCAATCACTCGACGTTCTGTACCCACGAGCACCTTCGCCTCCACAGAGCTCTTGGAACACTTTCCGAGGTAACTGTTACTTCCTATGTGTATTAGCTTCTCACAGCTATCCGCTGTAACTGTTATTATTCCATGAATTTAAGTTGTGGTTACAGTTGACAGCGACAGCAGCAGCTGTACCAATTTGAAGTACGTCTACGCCTACGTGATTAAATAACTAGGTGGCGTTCGCAGAGGCATCCACAAAATTGAGCGGAGTCATCAAGCGTTCATAGTATATTGTTTTTGTCATACTGCAGTAAAAACAGTAGTTTTTAATGCATGTGTTGCGGGTCCAAAGTAGCATTTTTACTCTTTAGGGAGTAAAAATCGTTTTTAGCCTCTATGGAGTAAAAATCAGCTGTTGTCAACTCAGTTGTAAATTTCTATTGTAAACGATTGCATGTATCGAAATATCTATCGATGCTTGCTTCGTAATCATTTTAACCTAAAGTCTACAGTCTCTTCCCATAGCATTTTAGCATTGCAGATACTGTAATCCATTCCCACACTCAACACTGATAACCTTTTCTACTTCCTTCACCACCCCCTACGTCGTGGGCCTGATTCCCTCTCTTCCCATAGCATTTTAGGATTGCAAATATATTAATGTAATTGCCAAAGACAGTTCCCACACTCTGCACTGCAAGCCTTACTACTTCCTTCACCATTAACTACGTCATAGACCTGTTTCCTTCCCTTCTCATAGCATTTAAGTATAAGTTACATTTATCTAACTGCCCAAACAGTTCCTGACTCTGCACTGCCAGCGTTTACTACTTCTTTTACCACTTCTTACGTCGTGGGGCCTGTTTCCTTCCCTTCTCATAGCATTTTAGGATAAAAGATACATAAATCTAACTGCCACAGACGGTTCTCACACTTTGCTAATACTTTACTGCTTCCTAATTCACTTCCTACATCGGAAAACTGTTTTCATCACTTTCCATAGCATTTTAGTATTTTAGATACGTTAATCAAATTACAGTACCACAAACATTCCCCACACTCTGCACTGCTACCCTTTACTACTTCCTTCGCCTCTTCTTACGTCGCGGACCTGTTACCCTCTCTTCCAATGGAATTTTAAGATTGTAGATACCTTAATCTAATCGTTCCCACACTCTGGACAGCTCGCATTGACTACTTCCTTCACCACTCCCTACGTCTCGGACCTGTTTCCTTCCCTTCCAATAGCATTTTAGGATTGCAGATACCTTAATCTAATCGTCATAAACAGTTCCCACACTCCGGACAGCTTGCCTTTACTACTTCCTTCACCACTTCCAACGTCGCGGACCTGTTTCCTTCCTTCCCATAGCATTTTAGGATATTAGATACCTTAATCTAATCGTCGTTAATAGTTCCCACACTCCGGACAGCTCGCCTTGACTACTTCCTTCACCACTTCCTACGTCACGGACCTGTTTCCTTCCCTTCCAATAGCATTTTAGAATTGCAGATACCTTAATCTAATCGTCATAAACAGTTCCCACACTCCGGACAGCTCGCCTTGACTACTTTCTTTACCACTTCCTACATCGCGGATCCGTTTTCCTCCCTTCTCATAGAATTTTAGGAATGCAGATAACTTAATCTAATTGTCATAAACAGTTTCCACAATCCGGACAGCTCGCCTTGATTACTTCCTTCACTACTTCCTACATCGCGGACCTGTTTTCCTCCCTTCCCATAGCATTTTGGGATTGTGAATACCTTAATCTAATCGTCATACACAGTTTCCACACTCCGGACAGCTCGCCTTGACAACTTCCTTCACCACTTCCTACGTCGCGGACCTGTTTTCCTCCCTTCCCATGGCATTTTAGGAATGCAGATACCTTAATATATTCTTCATAAACAGTTCCCACAGTCCGGACTGCTTGCCATTACTACTTCCTTCACCACTTCCTTCACGACTTCCTGCGTCACGGGCCTGTTTCCCTCCCTTCCCATAGCATCATAGGATTGCAAATACCTTCATCTAATGGTCATAAATAGATCCCATACCCCGAACAGCTCGCCTTGACAACTTCCTTCACCACTTCCTACATCGCGGACCTGTTTTCCTCCCTTCCCATAGAATTTTAGGAATGCAGATAACTTAATCTAATCGTCATAAACAGTTCCTACAGTCCGGACTGCTTGCCTTTATTACTTCCTTCACCACTTCCTACGTCGCGGACCCGTTTTCCTCCCTTCCCATAGAATCTTAGGAATGCAGATAACTTAATCTAATTGTCATAAACAGTTTCCACACTCCGGATAGCTCGCCTTGACTACTTCCTTCACCACTTCCTACGTCGTGGACCTGTTTTCCTCCCTTCCCATGGCATTTTAGGAATGCAGATACCTTAATCTAACTTAATCTAATCTTCATAAACAGTTCCCACAGTCCGGACTACTTGCCATTACTACTTCCTTCATTACTTCCTACGTCACGGGCCTGTTTCCCTCCCTTCCCATAGCATAATAGGAATTCAAATACCTTAATCTAATGGTCATAAACAGATCCCATACCCCGTACAGCTCGCCTTGACAACTTCCTTCACCACTTCCTACGTCACGGACCTGTTTTCCTCCCTTCCCATGGCATTTTAGGAATGCAGATACCTTAATCTAATCGTCACAAACAGTTCCCACACTCCGGACAGCTCGCCTTGACTACTTCCTTCACCACCTCCTACGTCGCGGACCCGTTTTCCTCCCTTCCCATGGCATTTTTGGAATGCAGATACCTTAATCTAATCGTCACAAACAGTTCCCACAGTCCGGACTGCTTGCCATTACTACTTCCTTCGCCACTTCCTACGTCATGGGCCTGTTTCCCTCCCTTCCCATAGCATCATAGGATTGCAAATACTTTAATCTAATTGTCACAAACAGTTCCCACAGTCCGGACTGCTTGCCTTTACTACTTCCTTCACCACTTCCAATGTCGCGGACCTGTTTCCTTCCCTTCCAATAGCATTTTAGGATTGCAGATACCTTAATCTAATCGTCATAAACAGTTCCCACACTCCGGACAGCTCGCCTTGACTACTTCCTTCACCACATCCTACGTCGCGGACCCGTTTTCCTCCCTTCCCATAGAATTTTTGGAATGCAGATACCTAAATCTAATCGTCATAAACAGTTTCCACACTCCAGACTGCTCACCTTTACTACTTCCTTAACCACTTCCTACGTCACGGATCTCAAGCTAGTGTCGTCATTTGACTATATTTATGATACATACCGTTTCTGTTCTAATATCTGTGGAACTATTTCTTTATTTCTTTCAGCTATTTCTTTATCTACTGCATTCAAAAGTCAACAGCTGATCATATGTCTTTGTTTATGTGTCAAATACTGCTTTCATAAGGATTACATTGAAACTTTGAGACCCAGTGGGGCGGATTCCTGAGAGACTTTTTTAACGCCATATAGATGTTGGCACTCACCGATATGGTCTTTATCACCATGCAAAATTTGAAAACGATTGATTCAGCCGTCTAGGAGGAGTTTGCGTATTACGAAATGCATAAGAGTCGACGTATAAGAGCTTCGCTCGCTTCGCTCGCTCCGCTCAATAAATTCAACTTGGACAATGTAACTACGAAAATGGTTATTTTTATTGGGGAAAATAAAAATAGTAAATAGATCTATGAATATGTAAAATGTTTTATGCTAGAAATTATGTTTACATCACAGTGTTTTAGGCGAATTTCCCAATAGGGGAGTAAGTTAGCTATGTAGGTGGCACGGTAAGACCTAGACCCGGGACCGATTTCCTTTTTCATTTTGATGTCCCCAGAGGCCAAAAACACCAATTTTAATGACATTTCGGTTTGAAGTTGTAAAGGTGGGATAAACTTAAATGAGTTTACTAACCAGCATGATCGGATCATGGGAACGGGCTTTTATGGGATAAAAGTTTTTCTGATTTTTGACCCACAAAATAAAAAATTCCCAATTTCTCTCTAGACCCTTTTAAAAAGCTTAAAAAAATAAATAATTTACTTAGTAGCCTACATATATCAAAGTTTTTTTGTACGGTTAGTGGTAACGGATAACATTCAAAAAATTGTAAACTTCCTGATTTTCTTCCTTGTTCACATGGGAAACTATATTCCCATGTGATTCTTATGGAGAATATTTTAAACTGTTGTTTGCTTGTTCATGGACATATTTTAATCAAACTTGGCAATTTCTTTTTTATTTTATACTAAGCTAAGTGTAGAGGCACCACACTATTAATTTTTACTAAAAAACACACTTTATTAGTTTCCTTGTAGCATCAAACCTAAGTACTCGAACCTAATGTTATAGATTTGATTGAAAATCAATCTAGACAAATGGAAATTCGCTTAGTCGGCAGGTTTGCTTGGTTGGCGGGGGGAGGTTTTCTTGAAGAGTAGGCCTATTTTAATAATTAATTGTTACTCCCATTATTTAAGGTAGTTAAATTATTAATTTATCGTCACTCTTTACAATCCACAATTGAATTAACTGTGACTAGTAATAAATATTTTAATTAAATATATAGGCCCTATACATTTTTTTTTTTTTTTTTTTTTTTTTTTTTAGGAAGGTGTGAATGCATTTACGCACACCTGCAAGGGTAGTGTGGGACTAACAGAAACAGACTACCCACTAAACACACCTCCCCCCTCCCTCTAAGATGGCTGGGGAGGGCGGTCACAGCGTAGCAGGATTTGGTCATGATTTTCCGCAGCCTTTTTCTGTGAACAAGAGAAATTTTACAAACAAATTATTTCTTAAGCATTAAGAACAGTCAGTAATTGTTTACCTAGACTTTATCCTTTGCAATTTTTTCCTTTGAAACATATAAAATTATTTTTTATAAAGATAGAAGACCAGAAAATATTTGTGAAGCAAGGGGTAATAAAATGGGGTTTTCTTTTCTTTTAGGCATTGTATAAATGCAGTGGGCATCGTCAATATACAACTTAGCCTAAGGAAAACCATGCAAACAAAGCACTCAAAATAGGTCTGCCTCACTAATTGGAGATATAAACAATCAGGTCGCTAGGGCCTATTGTATTTCTTGAAGGAAATAATAATAAAGAAATTTGTCTATTGTCTATGTCACTTTTAAGCGTATTTCTAAGTAAAAGATAAAAGAGACATGTAGGGATATTAGAGTGTCAGAAAAAGTAATATTGGGGTGAGGGGAGGGTATAAAAACAGAAAGTAAATAAAAGATACATCTAATAACACTTATAACATATATTTACACTTATACTGTTAACTCACAAGACGGTAGATATACTGTACATAAAAGATGGTACGGTAAGTGCCGATCCATCTTTTATGTATATTTACCATCTTGTGAGTTAACAGTATAAGGGTAAATATATGTTTTAAGTGTTATTAAACGTAACTTTTATTTACTTTCCATAAATTTAATAACACGTACAAAGCTGATCAAGAAGTTATTTAGTATAACATCCAAAAAAATTACAAAATACAAGATCGGGTAAAGGGTGGGAGTAGCCAGGTAACAAGGTAGGTAAATAAATTAACGTTAGGTTAGATTATTGTTTATGTAAAAAATAACCTAGCCTACAACATAACATTACCTTATGTGGTCGTTATCACCTCTACGACAGAAGAGCACCTCTTTAATCTCAAATGCTTTTCCGAAGAAATTATTTAATCGTAATATATTCTTAGAAATTTGTTTTGAGTGACATATATCTTCCTAGGAAAAAATTGCAGGTCTAGGCAAACAATTAACGAACAGTCATAAGGCATTCCCGCCAGGATTCTCCATATCCTTCTGTAAACAAGATAGAGGAATTTCACATACACACATAAATTTCTTAAGCATTAAGAACAATCAACTAAAATAAAGAATACATGCATAAACTAGGCTCTACCACCTAATTTGAAAACTCAGCTATGCGTAACATAGGCATACATTCTTGTCTATCGTTTCAAACTTTGAAGCCGTGCACCGCACTTTCACAAAAATGCGCAAGGAAATCCTTGACGCATATCATCCCAGCACTAAGATAGTCGTCATTTCAAATTTATATGCATTAGTTCCATGGGTAGAATCAATGCAGATACAATCTCTTCCATATTTCTTGAGCATGCCAGCTTGGGCTTCAGTCATTATGCCCAGCATGAAGTCGTCTTTGGTTAGTTCAGGGTAATCGGATGAATCAAGACCCTGAGGTTTGTACATTATGACTGAGTTCTTGTCACTAGCTATTTCCATCTCTACCCACTTTTCAACACTGATCGCATCATTTGTATGCCGTACACATTCACTATCTAAACTATATTCTCTCACTATATTTCTCAGATCTTGTTTTGTCAGAAGATGTCTCCTCGTAACCTCTTTAGTAACTGTTTGGCTGCACTTTACTTGACGTCCTACACTCATTCGATTGTTTTTTTTTTTCGATTCAATATTTTCATTCGATTGTTTCATTCGATATATCGTTTGATTAGTTAGGTTAGGCTAACCTTACCTAACATTACCAAACGATATATCGAATGAAGCAATCGATTAATCGATATATCGATCGATATTTTTATTTGAATGAGTGTAGGACGTCAAGTAAAGTGCAGCCAACTGTTTTCTGAACCTCATCAATAATAGCATCAAACGGGATTTTTTGGGCAATTTTGGTTGCAATAGTTTGTCGTTCATCATCAGGGATACTCAAATGGGCTAACAAAGCTTGATGTCCTACGTGAGTCTTACAAAATTCCACTTCAACGCTTCCATTTATCATCGAAGTAGTAGCTTTCATTTTTGCAGGGCAGTAACTATTTATTTTCTTTGTTTCCTGAATTTTCATGGATCGTTTACGCTGACACTCAGAAGACAAGTGCGTTCGGTAATTATCCGAACGATGACACTGATAGTATGTCACTTTCTTGTCTTTACTTCGGTAGCTATCCCTCCTGTTGATGAACAGAGATTTTTCACTTTCTTCATGACACTTCTTCCACTTTAAAAATTCATCTTCACTAGTAAATGTAATTTTCTCTGATTCAACATTGATCTGATGTTTAGAAAGTAAGTGTTCATTTAAATTGGCTGTCTTACCAAGGTCTGAACTACGTATCGCACACTGAACAGTTTGTGAACAATTGGGGTTTCCATCATTAGGGCTGTATCCGTTGTTAACATTATCATAATGTCTCTTCAGAGAAAACCTTTTAGTGAATGTCTTATCACACAGTTCACACACATGAGACGTCATTCTAAGTTATTAAAACTGAATCACTCAAAAGTTCATAACAAACTACTTACACTTAAAACTTCACAACAAAAATTCTACACACACATTCGACATTCCAGTTGACATTTAGAGCCTAACTTAGGCCTACTCTTATAAATAGATAAGTTATTAATTTAACTATTTCAAAGGCAATAACTTCGACCTAAACTCAACTGAAAGGCCCAACTTACTTAAAATAAACCTAGACCTACCACTACAAAAACTGCAATCTAACAAATTCACACACAAACACAACTCAACCTAACCCTCTTTCTTGAGGAATCCGAAAAATATAGGTTAAGTGAACACTTAAAACTTGATAAATAATTCATGCACGTAAAACATTTAATTGTCAATACCTAATAACAAATCAGCTTCAGCACACTCACAGCACTTTAATTTTCATAATCATAAAACACCTTTTCAAGCAGCTCAAGTCAAAAGTAAATAAACAGTAAAGAATAAACACCTTTTCCTTTACAAAACCAAAACCACAATGCACAGTTTGCTTGCAACTGCTGCAACTGTTGAATGAAACAACTATCTAATCAGGACCAATACAGAGTTACAGTGAAGCTATTACACAAATAGCTGTTATCCCAGGAACTGTTCCAAGGACTACTGTGCATGTCACTGAGCTATAATTCTAAGTGGTGCATGTGGAAGAGGAGGTGCTCGTGGGTACAGAACGTCGAGTGTCTCAATCACCTCATGTCTACTATCAATGAGTCTTTAGGTTCCCTCAAAGCGCTAGGATCTCCTACAGATAAATGGGATCACATCTTGGTGTACATTATTGTACAACGACTGGACCCAGAGACACACGAAGCATGGGAGATTCGTTACGGAGTCTCAACAGAACCCTCCACCCTGGAATATCTTCAGACCTTCATCGAAGGTCGTATTTGAGCCCTGGAATTGAGTCACGAGCAACACTGCCAAGCGATGTAACGGTAACTACACTACAATATTATAAAGGTAAACCTCATCAAAATCTTAAAGTACATTCAGCACAAATAGTAGCAAAATCTCAAACCAATATAGGAAATCATTGTCAACTGAGCAGTAAAGATCACTATTTAGCATTTTGCAAGGAGTTTCGTGACAAAGTACCTAGTCGACGAAAAGAGGTTCTTGTGAACAAAAGATTATGTTTCAACTGTCTTGGTCCACATTTGTTAAAGGACTGTCGCTCAAATAAATCTTGTTTACAATGTAAGAAAAGACATCACACTCTAATTCATGATGCTGTTAGCCAGACTACATATATACCTCATATAAAAAAGTAAAGTTCTCTCATCCCTAACAAATTCATCTCATCCACAGATAACACATCATCAAGCTCACACGTCTCCTCTAATCACATGCTTCCATTTAAGGAAATTAATCGACAATCTGTGCTCCTAGCAACCGCTCAAGTTAAGGTAATTGCTCCTGAGGGAAATAGTGTTATTGCCAGAGCTTTAATCGACCAAGGATCTGAAATCTCTTTCATCAGTGAATACAGTATCTCTTGTTGGTATCGGTGGACATCAAGCCCCAACCACTCGTGGGATAGTTTCAATCAATATTAGTTCTCTGTATGATACCAAAGTTAGCTGCTCTTTATCTTGTCACATCCTTTCAAATCTCACATCAAATTTGCCATCGATAACACCAAATCATTCATCGTGGAATCATATCAAGGGACTTCAACTGGCTGATCCTGCCTTCATGAAGCCTGAATCTGTAGATTTAGTCCTAGGAGCAGACATCTACACGTCTATTATCCTTCCTGGTCTAATTAAAGGTCCACCCCTCTCCCCAGTAGCACAAGCAACAATTTTCGGTTGGATATTGTCTGGACCTACTGGAATAACGGAAAATAAATCTACCTCATCAATGTTTCATTGCTTAATAGAAAACAAACTTGATGATTTTCTTCAAAAATTTTGGGTACAGGAAGAAATTCCTCAAATTAAAGAATCAGTCAAGTCTCCTGATGATCAAGTATGTGAGGAACACTATCAATCAACCTTTTCTAGAGAACCTTCCGGTCGCTATCAAGTCCGACTTCCCCTAAAGGAAACAATCAATCAGCTTGGAAAATCTCAATCGTCAGCTTTTCAAATTTTAACAAAGCTAAATACTCGTCTCTCAAACGATCTTGAATACAAAAACTTGTATACTAATTTCATAGAAGAATACAAAGACCTTGGTCACATGACTGAAACTATTAAAGAAACAGATTCTACCATTCCTATATATTACCTACCCCATCATGGTGTTTTGCGTCCTTCTAGCACGACGACTAAATTTTCCATCCAGAGAATTCTTTGAAGATCTCGATCACTGGGATGTACTAGAATCTGGCGATACATTTTCTCGATATCAGTGGCAAATACGTATTTATAGCGCCTAAACCAAGTGAGAATATCAGGTAGTTCTGTTTGGAGTTTTGGACCACTGTAGAGTACGTCATTCAAAGATAATCCTGAACTAGTTGGGAATGAGGCATTGAAAACTACTCTTTTCAATGCCTCATTCCCAACTAGTTCAGGATTATCTTTGAATGACGTACTCTACAGTGGTCCAAAACTCCAAACAGAACTACCTGATATTCTCACTTGGTTTAGGCGCTATAAATACGTATTTGCCACTGATATCGAGAAAATGTATCGCCAGATTCTAGTACATCCCAGTGATCGAGATCTTCAAAGAATTCTCTGGATGGAAAATGGTCATCTTATCAACTACAGACTGTTACATATGGGTTATCATGCGCTCCTTTTCTCGCCCTAAGAACGATGAATCAGCTTATCATTGATCATGGTGATGCATATCCCCAAGCTAGTGAAATGTTGTCAAGAGGGAGATATATGGATGACATTTTTGGTGGTGCAGACTCGATTGAAGAGTGCAGAGAAGTAGTAAAACAGACTGACGAGCTTTGCAAATTAGGTTGTTTTCCTTTACAGAAGTGGATGAGAATTCAGCAATGATCAAAATGTACCATCATACATTTGTGAAAGTAATTGCGAAGAAGGCAATTCCTTATTGATAAACAAATCCTCCAGTATACGTACTCTTGGACTTACATGGAATCGATTCAGCGATGATTTTCAGTTTCTTCCTACTCTAAGTCCAAAAGACAAATGCACGAAAAGTAACGTTCTTTCTCAAATAGGTCAGTTATTCGACCCCTTGGGTTTTGTCTCCCCTATCATCATAAGGTTCAAACAATTCATGCAACAACTTTGGCTAGTCAAAATTCCTTGGGACCAACTTTTACCTAACCACTTGCAAGACCGATGGAAACTCCTTGAAGCTGACCTACAATATTTGCCATTAGTTAAAGTACCTCGTTATCTTGGTCTTACCCAACTATCTTCGGTAGAAATTCATGGATTTTCAGATGCTTCTAAGCTTGCAATGAGTGCTGTAGTCTACCTAAGAATCGTTAATCGTGAAAATATCACTGTTAGTTTAGTTATTTCTAAAACTAAAGTAGCTCCTCTCAAGACAATGTCGATTCCTCGACTGGAACTCACTGCTGCTACACTACTAGTAAAACTTGTAAAGTATGTTCGGAAAATGCCCAACTTAGAATCTGCCCAAGCATGGTTATGGACTGACTCTATGGTTTCCCTAACCTGGATTACAAATCAACCTTCAAAATGGAAAGACTTAGTGCGTAACAGAGTAAGTGGGATTAAGTATAATGGGATTAAGGCTTTACAATAGTCTACCCACTATTTTCAAAGAAATTAACAGTATTTCAAAATTTAAAAATGATTTCAAACGATACCTTTTACAGAAAAATTATTATAATCCACACTAGTGAGTACTACTACTATCCGCAGTACTATCCTGATAATTAGACCAATTCGTATATACCAAGGAAAAAATGTGGTTCGGATTCCACTATAAACTGTAGGTCCCTTAGTTGCCATTAGCTGTTTGGGCTATTAATTAACAGCTGTGTCTAAGGGATGTCGGCCTTAGTCACTAACAAGACTACAAGATCGCGCCACTCATCCTACACTCATCTCCATTCATACTTGGCTTAAAATACCTACATAGTATGGTCGCCATTTTATAAGAAAGTATAAAAAAGTATAAAAAAGTATAAAGTATAATATTTCCGATTATTTAAATGATAAGTAAATATATTTTAGTTTAAGCTATGTGGATTTTAGTTTTGTTATGTAACTTAGTGTTTAAGATCTCTGACAATATCACCTGTTTCACCAGCTAACGCTGGATCTGTGAAATGTTTTGTGATAATAAAGTAATATTTCATTTCATTTTTTTTTTCATTTCATTTCAAGTGTTATACAAGAGACAGAACCACTCGCTAAGTGGAGGTATGTAGCAGGAAATGAAAATCCAGCCGACTGTGCTTCACGAGGTGTTACTGCTAAAATCCTTAGCAACCATAAGCTTTGGAGGACGGGTCCTCCGTGGCTGAATAAAGATGTTTATGAGTCCACGACGTTTGATCCAGCTCAAGCAGCTAAATCTGAACTGCGAATCCCTCAATCAACTTGCCACACTTTGAACCAGAACCAGAAATGCTAGAGCGCTTCTCAACACTGTCAAAACTATTACGTGTTACTTCCTGGTGTCTAAAGTTCATTGCCAAAACAAAAAAATCCATCCAATCATTGTCAATCCATGTCAATCATTTTTAACTCCTCAAGATCTCAACTCATCTCTTTTGTTGTGGGTAAAACTCATTCAAAAACATGCCTTCAAATATGAGCTCGCGTGGTTACAAAACAACAGACCTGTGGAAAAATCTAAATGTAATCTTATAAGTCTTAACCCCTTTGTCGATAACACTGGTCTAATGAGAGTTGGAGGCAGACTTCTATCGTCAAACGAGAACTGTTAAAGTGTGTTACTTGTGCTCGTTAAAGCTCTCAAAGAGCTCAACAATTAATGGGGCAGCTTCCTCCTACAAGAACATCACCATCACGTCCCTTTTTGCACTCTGGTGTAGATTACGCAGGCCCTTTTGTAATCAAAACATGGCATGGAAAGAGAGCAAAAACCTACAAAGGTTATATTGCGGTGTTCATCTGCTCGTCGACCTCAGCTATTCATCTAGAGTTGGTTTCCAACTACTCATACTACTTCATAGCGGCTTACAAACGATTCACCAGCCGTCGAGGCATCTGTGCTACTTTAACTAGTGACTGCGGGACAACATTTGTAGGAGCTGACAAAGAACTGAAAAGATTGTTTTCATCGTCTTCAGCAGAATCAGGTCAACTCAAGTCCCTGCTTGCTAATGATGGAACTGAATGGAAATTCAACCCTCCTGCTGCTCCACATTTTGGAGGTCATTGGGAAGCTGATGTTAAATCAGTTAAATACCATCTCAAAAGAGTTATGAAGACCCACCTACTAACTTACGAAGAATTTTCGACAGTGCTGGTACAAATAGAAGCGGTACTTAATTCTCGCCCTCTTTGCCAGCTTACAGAAGATCCAGACGATCTAGCAATCCTAACCCCTGCGCACTTTTTAGTTGGCGAATCTTTAACTACTATCCCAGAACCTAATCAAGAAAACCAACCCACATCAAGACTTACTCGGTGGAAATTAACTCGCCAAATGTTGGAATCATTTTGGAAGAAGTGGTCTCGGGAGTACCTTCAACAACTTCAAGCGATATACAAATGGAGATTTCCTTCCTGTTCAATAAAACTTGGATCAGTTGTTCTTGTTGTTGATGAGCAATTACCACCATCAAAGTGGCCGCTAGCAAGAGTGACTGAACTTCATCCAGGTCGTGATGGACTTACCCGAGTAGCCACTCTGAGAACAGCAAGTACCTCACTGAAAAGACCAATAGTCAAGCTTTGTCCTCTTCCAATTGAAGTCAGTGATTAATATGTATTGCTCCTTCGGCGCAATGGGGGGGGGGGGGAGAATGTTTAAAGTTATTTTCCTAATTTACTGTTTCTAACAGCTGTTCTCATATTACTATTTTATATCATGTTTACTTTATGTTCAGTTAAAGAAATACAGTCCACTAAGAAACATCATCTAGTTTTTTTCTCTATTTATCTATCTTCATCTACATTTTAATCTAAGTTTATCGATCGATCTAAATTCTTTTATCAAACATCCCCCCTGAATGGCAACAACCAAAACACAAACCCCAAAGCACAAAGAAGAGATAATCAGGGACATTTAGTTATTACACAAAATAAAACAACCTCCATCACTATTTTTCACCAAAATGTTCAAGGTCTTAGGAAAAAGATTGAAAGAATAAATCATCTAATGAGTGAACTCAAGTCCGCTATCTTGGTGATTACTGAACATGGACTTAGCTCAGATATGTTATTACTCACTAAGATTAGTGGTTACAACCTAGTCACATATTCCTGCAGGGAAGATCATAGAATGGGAGGGGTTGCAATCTATATCCAGGAAACTGCTGTCATCAAGGCAGAAGATATAGAAATCTCCAACCAAAGTGTAGAGTTAGTTTTTGAAGCAGCATTAGTGAAAATAAGGATAAAGAACAAAAACCTCTACTTACATGGTATGTATAGACCACCAGGGGGACAAGCTAGATTAGCCATTGACATCATATCAAAAGTTCTGGAGTCACTACAAGCTGACACCAAGGCCGTTGTATTAGGGTCATTTTCAAATTGAATGCAACTTTCAAGTTAAGAGTGGATTAAATAAAAACTTTGCTAGAGCCCCTTTGTTTTTACAAACAACATTTCAACATATATTAATAAACACTACCTAATAGAAATTTTTTCAGTTTATCCAGTAATTTATGATTTTTTACTGTTTTTTATTGGGTAATACCCTTAAAATGTCATGAGTGTTACTGTAATAAGATTATGGAAAAAACTGTTTCTTTGAATAAAAAAATTTTATACTGGAACAAAATGGTGTCATAAATAACTTACTAGACCTTATAATATATTGTTTTTAGAATTTTTTTATTTTATTTTTTGTTATTAACCTTTTATGTGTCAGGAGTGTTACCCGACAGCAGAAAAGAAACTATATTTTTTTAATTTACTCAACATAACCAAGAAAATTTCAATCGATTATCAATGATTGTTGTTAGTGTGTATTGATATCTTTCCTTAATATAAACAAACGACTAAATATACAAACTTAGAGTTTTCTATACTAGTTTTTATTATTGTTATATTCAGTAACATTCATGACTGTAGGTAACACTCATGACAATAAGTAACACTCCTGAATTATACATTGGGAATTCAATAAAATAAAGCCAGTTTTTAATTATAAAAGTGTATTTTCTAACAAAAAAAGTACATAGGCCTATATAAAAGTTTATATTCAGTTATATTATTTTTATATTCAGTAACATTCATGACTGTAGGTAACACTCCTGACAGGTAACACTCCTGACTAATGTTACTATTCAATTATAAAAGTGGACTCTGGGTAAAGACCAGAATTTGGAGGTTAGGTTTACATTCATAGTACATCAACACTAAACAACTGATATTAAGTAAACTTTTCTAAAGTATGCATATCACTTTAAAAAAATAGTAACACTCTTGACAATGAATTAAAATACTTACCATTATTAAAACATATTCTTGATGTATTCTGGTTTTCTTCTAACTTAAATCATAAACTTCCACATTGCTGGAAACTAGAAACAATATGGCTGCTTATTGCCAACAAAACAAAACAAAATTTCCCTTTTTTCCCTGTTTTCATTGGGTAACATTCCTGAAGTAACACTCAGGACCGATTGTGGGGGACAGTTGTTCAAAAATTGTTATAAAAAAATATATGCATATTAAAATTGAATTTTGCTATCAATGTTTCTTTATGGTTAAAATACTTAATAAGGTATTTACATTATATACTTGCTGCAAACAGCTTAATTAAAAGTTATATCGTTAAGTTCATGTTAAAGGACAGTAGAAAACAATGACTTACCTAGATTCAAAATTTTATATAAAAGAAATTATGACTCAAAAATCAATGACAATTCAAAAGTGTGTTCTTATATATGTGTTTCTTCACTCAATACTTTTTTTTAACTAAAATTGTTAAGATATATATATTTTTTTAATCCTAAAAGGTTTAGGACTGTAAAGTTGCATCCAGTTTGAAAATGACCCATTAATGGGCGATATCAATATAGACAGGCTAACTGAAAATGCCAGTAGTAACTATCTTGAAGAGGAACTGTAAACTTTTGGAGTTAGAAGATTACCACTCCCAGCGACAAGAATCACTAACAATTCAAGAACCTCTATAGACTGTATCTGTACGAATACACATGATAATGCTATAGATTTTGCTATAATTAACACTGGAATAGCAGATCACACAGGTCAAACATGTACCGTCAAAATACAGAGTGAAGTTACTGCTAAAACAGAGATGTCACAAAAAAGAATGTTTTCAAGAAAAAACCTGGATAGCATGAAATATGAACTCTCCAAAGAAAACTGGATAAAGGTGCACAATGCCCCTGATGCTGAAGAGGCATACTCTGCATTCCAAAGGACTATAAGGCTCATATTGGACCATGCCCTTTCAAAAAAATAAGACTATAATATAATATAAATACCTCGTCACAGCTCTGAAGTTTCTGTATATTACAGCTGTTTCGGCATCAAAATGCCATCCTCAAGATTTTCTAGATGTCTTCTACTGATACGAGCTTACCGGAAATGTAAATGATAAAATAACAATGTCGGATAAAAAGAAAACATATGATTTAAAGCTCAGGTCCCTCAAGCGACAAGCCACTGCAGAATACATCACAAGTGCTGACAATAAATCCAAAGCTGTCTGGGAGATCATCAACAAAGAAAAACAACGTAAACAGAAGGAAGAACCAAATCTGCAGCTGGAAATGGAAGGAAAAATATAGGATTTTCTCAAAAATGCCCCAAATGATTTTGATAAAAATTTAGTATGTTGTAGCCCTTTAACACATTGACTGCGGCCCGGTCTCGGGAGACCGTTCAGTCGCGCAGGATTTAGAATTGTCAGTGTGGCTCTGCCGGTCGCTCGAGCACTTTGAGGTTATGTTCGATCGATAGCTAGAGCTCTGTAGCGTGCTTGGTTGCCGTAGTTTCTCGGTCGGCCCAAAACCTGGACCGGTCTCCAGTGAACGGTGCGCGTGTGACTTGTAATTTCGAAGGTGTTGGTGTTTAGTGTTAAAACAACTACTTGTTATACATTGTAGTGGATATAAAACAGTTTTTGTGATCATTATTAGTTATTTCAACGAAATGGATCCCAATAGACCTGGTACTTCAACCCAAGACCTCGATGGTGACAGCGATCCCGATGATCCTGGATTTCCTGACGACCCCGTCCAACGTCGCATGGAAGATTCAGATGCTTCTGAGGCATCGTATTTGAGTGTAGATGACCCAGAAATTGGTGCAGACCCCCCTACATGGTCCATTACAACTGGAGGTATGAGGCCTATCACATTTGTTAGGCAATCTGAGATACTGGTCCCCCTTCCAGGCACTGGCGCGCCATTTGATTTTTTCAAGCTCTTACTCGATGACATTTTTCTCGAGAATATTGTTAAATTTACTAATGCCAATGCTCAAACAATTTTTTATAATAAGAGAAACCTTACTCCTAAATCTAGGATAAATAAGTGGGTTGATCTCACAGTTCCTGAATTACTGAATTTTTTGGGGCTTTTATTCCACACAGGCACTATTCGTCTCAATCGAATACAAGATTATTGGAAAATTGACCCCTTATTTCAATTGAATGCATTCAGGTCAGTAATGTCCAGGGACAGATTTTTGAACATTTTACGATGCTTATATTTTCACAACCCTCAACATCCAGTAGCTCGTAGTATGGATAAGATTCAGTACATTGTTGATTATTTCAACAGTAAAATGAATGTCATACGAACGAAAAACGATAATGTCATACCTCCTGCTTCTTTAAACGGTTTTGGAGAAATGGAAAAAAATTCCAACTTAGGTCAATTCCCATCAACTTCAAAAAATAAAAGTAAAAATATTTCAAATATAAGAATATTTCATCAGAATATTGAAAATTTAATTTCACAGATTGACTCGCTGGAAATAGTTTTAGATGAAATAAAACCCCATATCATAGTATTACCTGAACATAATTTAAAAAATGATGAAATGGTCAAACTTATTATAAAAAATTTTAGTGTCAATTCTTATTATTGTAGAGAGACCGCCACAAAAGGAGGTGTCGTTATTTTGTCTAATAAATCTATTAAGAGGAAGCAGGTGGTAGAAATCAAAATTCATAATCTAGGAGAAGATAAAAAATTTGAGTTTTGTGCTGTGAAATTCATAGTTAATAAAAATATGTTTGTACTAGTAGGCATATATCGCTCCCCAAGCACAAATCCTTTTGAATTTATAGAGCGTTTGAACGAGTTAATAATGAATCTACTTTCTATTTGTAGTAATCTCATAATTGCTGGGGATCTAAATATAAATGTTATTAATAACGAAAAAGATTGTAAAGCACTATGCAATTTGTTGAGTAGTCATGGTATGTCTCACTTAGTTACATTTCCCACAAGAATAAGTGAAAAAAGTCAAACATGTATTGATAATTTCCTTACAACAAATTCAAAAGCACAAACTAAAGTAGAAGGTGTGATCACTTATCTCTCTGACCACGATGGTCAAATTTTAGATTTTTTATTTGATATACCTAATTGGGAAGGTGGAAATAAAACAAAATATAAAAGTTGTTTTTCAAAAGATAATGTAAACCTATTTCTTGAATCACTTAAAAGTGAAAACTGGAATGGAGTTTATTTTTCATGTGTGGAGGACAAATATGATAAGTTTCTCAATATTTGTATGTATCATTTTAACTTAAAAAAAGTTAAAAGGATA